TTTATTTTAATATAGTATTTTATAAACAATAGCTGGTTAGCATAACAGTCAAGCTATACACACATAGCAAATCACTTATGTAGTTCAAAAGCCTTGCTCTACATGCACTGCAAGTCACAACTCTTGCTTGTCTAGTTTCACAGCCTAGCTGTAGCTCTACAAGATAATTTATGGGTTGTATAACATTGTTCATTTTAAAAATCAGTTATAACAGAAAGGCAAAGGAACAGAAATTGGGTTTCTAGTAACAAAATTAGCTTTATTAAATTTTTTTGTAAAAAATTTTATTTAGTGGTAAAACAATCATTAATAAATTAAGCATATTTGAAAATAAAACATAGTTTGTACATCACTTTTTAGATTTTTTTAAAAAATTATCTCATTTTGTAAATTCAATTTTTTGAACTTTATATTCAATATTTGGAATAATATTAGTACTAACAAAACTCATGCAATTTATGAGTTACTAATTTGATTAAATAATTCAATAAAATAATGTTCAAATGAATAAAAAGTAAAGATGATAAGTAAAAAGTTCAATTAATCACTAAAGTCAACAAAAATACAACTTGTGCTTGCAAACTATGAATTTTTGAATTAAAAATCCAAAGATAATAATCAAGAACTTTAGAAAATATAACATTATTTGTGCAATATTTTTGGCTTATCATTCCTTGAATAGGATTTTTATTAATTTTGAAAAACAAACTTTTTGATGCTTTTGTTCTTAAATATGTGAGGTACAGTTGACAATTAGAGAAAAGTATATTTTTTACCATACACTACTTCCATGAAAGGTTTGACCTTGAATTTTATTGATTCTTATTTCATATGCCAATCTAACAGGAAACTTACAACTTTTTACAACAACAAAAAAATTAGAATCTGACAGAGCCAACTGAACTTGATAAACAAACACCGGAAAAAACAGATTAAATAGATTAAACAGATTAAAATTTAAAGAGCACGAACCATCCATTGCCAAGTTTTGTAAAATTTGTAAATAGCATAATTGCACCACCAATTTAAATTTTAAACAGAACAGAAAATGTTATTTCATTTATTAAAGTTGTTGATCTCAATTTAATCAGCCCTTAAAAAAGCATTGATGTCTCTGTAAACGTTCAAGCACTTGCTCATTAATTGATAGTGAATCCACATCAGTGGGTGTTAAAATATCTCATTTAGCATAATAATCTCATTTATTATGTCCAAGTATCTCATCAACAATTGAGCCGTTTTCTCTAATAATGTACTGATGTTTTCATTCAACACACCCTTTAAAAGGACCTTCTTGTTAGACAGCCATTGCTAAACTACCTTAATAGTCATTGTGAAAACTCTCCTTGGCCATCATGTAAACAAAACTATAAATTGCATTTAAGACATGTTTAAGTATAATGAATTTCCAGTCCATGTAGCTGTAGCAGATTAAACATTCTTTCTGCTAGTTTCAGCTATCAAAAAAATATTATGCTTAAATAATTATTAAAAAATAATATAATAATCTTATTCAGTATATCATTATTTGTGTTTGGTTGGGGCATTATCTAAAATCTCAAAAGAATCACAGTTAGCCAGATTTTTTCAAATAAAGACTTTAAATATATTTAAATCTTTAAATATTGATAAATCAAAGTCATGTTAAATAACTAAAAACTATAAACTATAAATTAAATAAAAGAATTAATAATTATTGGTTTATTATGTAAATTTTTGTCCATTATTATTTCTCTGTAAAGACTTCTATTTTTTATATTTATTTCAGAGTTTTATTATTGTAAAATAAGTTCTTGAAAATGTAAATAAATTTTACGAAACATGTTAAGAATAAAAACATCGTGTTATTCTTACTTATTTATATGTATTACAGTGATATTTGATTTAAATTTAAATAAAATCAAGCTAACTTTAATGATATAAAATCAAAAGTTGGAATGGAAAAAAAATTAATAATTTGTTTTACTAGGGTGGTCCATTTTTTTAAAACTTTAACTTTTTTTTGAAATTTTAATCAGGGTTTTTACCAGTGATCTAAAAATGCTAAATACCAAAAATTTTGAATTTAGGACAATTTTTAGATCCCCCACAAAATGTTAGAAGTTATAATAATGGATTGCACAAGTATTGTGAAACATTTTATCCACTAACTGTTATTGTTACTTAGTGGGGTTTACACAATTTAATTATTAATCAATAAAAAATGATTATACAATGTTTTATTAATTTATGACTGTTTGTACATATCCCACAAAAGATTTATTCAAATATCAATAAGGATACTATTAATAACGTTACTGAAATGTCATTCTTTTGTTTGATGAAAATTTATTTCAATTGATTTCTTTGAGTAATATGCTTCTTTAAAGCTGTTTCGATATTTTTCCATCACTTGAGCAAGTTGTTCTTTTCCTACTGGATCAAACCATTTGTCTTAGATGTCTTGATACCTCGCTCTACAATATTGTTGACACAAGAAAGATAGCATAAAAATTTTTTTGCAGCATTAAAGTTCTCGAATTTGTTCCAATGCTCTGATGGAACGTTTAGCCATTCTTGGGGTCTGTTTAATTTTAACAGATGAAAAAGCAACCATGACTTTTCGCCAATGAAAGATGATAAAAAAGGTTTCTCTTTGCTGCGCCAAATAATTATCGGAGGCTTCGGTTTATAAGGAATGAATACTTCAGGCCTTGGTAAGTTTATAAGTTTCTGACCCATCATAGTCTTTTCTGCATAACTCTCTGAGTCTTAAAACAAGGCAAAGACTACTAGCTCCTCAGATAAGTATCATAGGTGTTGTTAAAAAGACTTGGTTTCTTCTGCACTTTCAAGGTCAATCGATTTTAATTTCCTTATTAAATAAAAGAAATACTGGTCATTAGCTGGAGCTGTAGCAGTAATAGATTGAAGAAATTACTTTCGAGAATATTTTTGTATAATAAATGGCTTTCGATATCCAGCTTACATGATAATCAAAACCGACATACCGAATCTGGAAACTTCTTTTAATATATCCACCAAAAAAAATAGAATAAGCTCCACTAGTTCTTGTTAGTCCTCACAAGGAAATGTTTTCCTTTCCAAGCATTCCATTGCCCATTTCTTTACTTCAAGTGCTTGTTGAAATGAAAAATTATTTTGATCATGAGGCCCCACACTCTAAGTTCTTTTATATTCTTGTAAAGAAATTTTTCCTTGAACCTTTCAAAAAACTAAAATCTTAGTGATTTGTTCGGACCACAAATAGCATTGGATGTTGGTTTTATAAAGAGCTCTTGAATATGATGCCTACATTCATGTCAGAGTAGAGAATGACCAATTTGCTTCTAAATTAGAACTGCAGCTCCATTATATGCTCCACTGTTTGCAGATGTTGTATCATAGACAAATGCAACAACAGATGCTTTTAAGTGCCGTTTATCAACTAGATTCATCAATGAAAAGCATTGTGTTTGACCAGATCTGTCAGTATTTTTAGTAGTACCTAGCAATATAGGAGGTTGCCCTGCATACACAGCAAGTGGCTCTTACTTACATCCAGTTTTCCATCCCAATGAATTTCTTAAAATTAAGGTGGAATCCAAGTTTCTTCAATTAATTTTGCTTCTTCAATTTTGTTAGCTGATCTTGCTCTATGAACTAATGTTTTAGAAAGTGTAATATCATTTAATGCTGTTCCACCGACTGCTAAAAATTTTCCAAAATAAGTAGCTATTGTCTTTGTCTAATACCATCAGTAACTGTGCACGTTTCTTTTAACAGTTCTCTTTGAAATTTTTAGTGTTTAAATTTGAGTTTTTTTCTCTTTCACTGAAAAATGTTCATCTCTTTTATCTTCTTCCGTAACATCTGAAGAAAATTTGGTGCCCTCGTTGACTTCATTATCATCAGTAATGGTTTCCAAAATTCAAGATTTTTGAGTTGCTGTTTCTTAATATGAAACAATTTTGTTCTTTTCTATCTTTCGTGGCTTCACTTTTGATAATAGAGATACGCTATCCAGTTATTATAGAGATCAATGATCTCGATCATTGGGGGAAAATGTGCGCAACATAACTCTAAAAAGCAAGTCTCTTTGGCCTGGTGTTGCTTATGTGCTCAACACAACAAAGTCCTTGGTTACAGTTCTTCGAATGGTGGATTCCGAAAAGTACCTACCAATGGTATTTATTTACGAATCAAACACCTAAACTAGAAAAATTTGCATTAAACTCTTGAGCTTGATTTGCAGTGCTTCTGTATGTAAATGGAATTGGGTTCCTTCAATTAAGTAATAATATAAAGTATTTTGGTTTTTATATGTTTTCAATTTTTATGTTACTGTTAGTTTTAATATTATAATGAATAGGTGCATACAAAGAGAAGAAATCGCTTAAAGCAAGTGAAACTCAATGATTTGGTTTACATTATGTTTAATTTAAAACAAAAACACATAAAGTTAAGAAGAAAAAAATTGAAGATCCCCTTTGTTTGGATGATGTAGACTCTGGTGATAAATGGAGAATGATGAATCTCAGGGCTCTGAGATCCTAAGGTTGAGGTCTATGAAGATCTTGATGCAAATATAGCTCTTGATGACCCTCTTGAAGTATCTTAGGTATAGGATATTTATTTGAATAGGTTTTTTTTATTTTTTTATTTCTACTTTACTGAAGCATATATATTTTCTTTAGGTAAAAAAAAAATTCCAATTGATGATGATGAGGATTTTCCACACGTCGAGAAGTAAAGCGAAAAAGACGAAGTTGAATTGAGTTTAAAATCGAAATAAATGCAAAATACTTTAAATACTTTTGAAATTGTTTATTATACTATGGTTTTCAGAACGCAAGTTTGTATAAAAAATGATAAAAATGAGTTTACTTTGCATTTTAAACCGGGGGCCTAGCTTTCCCGGGGGCTGTGTCAGCTTTATAACCTTTTGTAATCCTAAGTTACGCCACTGCATTTGTGTTATTATAAAATTGTTTCAAATAGTTTTAAAAAAATTTTTATTTCTATTTAAAATCAAATAAATCATCTACAAATTTTTCTACTTCATCAATATTAAACTCTTCATTAATATTAAATTCTTCATCCATATTAAGTTCTTCATTTATATCTATTTTTTTATCAGAATCAAGTTGATTAAATTCATCTTCTATCTCTTGAAAGGTATCAAAATCATGTTCATTGTAATCTTCTTCTTTTTCGGATATATTACCGATTTCTTCAACAAAAGACGAAAACCTTACACGAACATCTTTGTTTTCTATTTTATCAAGCGGGTTAATAATGTCTGTTGATATTATTTTACTGATTGTGCTTTCTTTATCGCTTAATACTTTTTTAAATGAATTTGAATCACTGTCTAATGTTTTTTGTAAGAAATCCAAGTTGCTGTCCGATACCTTTCTGGTGAATTCTAAATTGCTATTTGTCGTTTTCTGTATAGAATTAGAACTTATTTCAGAAATCTTTCTGGTAGAATCAAAACCTCTATCTGATATATCTTTAAAAGAATCAGAACTTTCATAAGATATATTTCTTGTAGAATCCAGATTTGATTCTGGAGATTTTTGGTCTAGAGTTTCAACGTGTAAACTATCAGTAAAAATATTTTGGTCAATCCATTCGTTAGGGTCTGATTCGAACCCTTGGTTTATAATTAATTTACTTTCAAAAAAAATATCATTGTCATTAATCATTTTTGAGTTAGATAAAATAGGTATCAGATCGCAATCTGTAGCATCTTGGAAAGTATCCTGCGCCAAGTCTTCTACGTCATAGATATTCACTAAAAGAAATCATAACAGATTTGATATCCATATTAGCAGTGAATATATTAACCTTTATTACCTTATATTACCTTAGCAGTGAATATATTAAGTTTTTTTTTTTTTTTTTTTTAATAAAGTTTAATGAACCTATTACTTTTGATTATAATTAATTATAATCAAAATTAATTATTAAACATGAGTGTTTAGTAAACACAATCGCAACTACACATTAAATAGTTTTAACTATAAAAGAACTATAACATTACTTATTCCGCTATGCCTATCCCATGACTTTCTAGAATTGAAGGTATCAATGCCAAGTGTTTGATGCACACTAGAGTGCGTATAATTTGGTTGAAATACAGGATAACTACGAGCCTCCTCTGCATACATAGGGTTTAAAATTAAACTCTTATTTCTTGAGTTATTCAAAGTCTGAGTATCTAAAGTCTTTTCGCTGTATCTATAGTAACATAAAATAACAAGTATTTTGAAACATAGTTTACAGTATTTGAAAAATAACAAGTATTTCGAAACATAGTTTACAGTATTTGAAAAATAACAAGTATTTCGAAAAACAGTGTGAAAAATTTACAATCTAAAATTGAAAACAAAAATTTAAAATAATAAAACTCACGTGCACCATTTGCTGTATCTGAGGATTATAAAGAAAACAATCAAAATCAGGATTGCTAGTATGGTGGTCACAAAAACTGGCACTATCCATGTGTTTTTATATTTCACAACTTTTTCTTAAAATTAATTTAATCATTTTAACTACATTATTTAACATAATAGGTAATAAATAAATAAAAAAAAACGCCTAAAAATAAAAATAGAAAAAGAAGTAAAATTAAAACAACGCTTTTGATTTTTTATCTTTTTGTAATTTTATTTTAATCATTGACACTAATAATTAATTTCAAAATTTTTAAAATAATAATCTAAAAAATACCTACAACTTTGATTGTAATTTCAACCCTGTTTTCACCGACAACGTTTTTGCAAACGCAAATATAAGTGAACGAACCACTAACAGATGCGTCAATCGTTATATTTTGCCCCGTTAACAACGCGCGAAAAACCCCTATTTTGTACCATTGTACAATCGGTTGAGGATAACCGCGGGCAAAACAAAATAATTTAGCCGTCTCTCCAACTGTGAGCGTCTGATCTTTAGAGTATGAGTAAATAAATGGAGAATCTATCAAAAAACATAAAATTTAGAAATTATAGGTATGTAAGCTGTTGAATATAAACTTACATCTCTTTTGATTTAAAAACTAAATACAAAAATCTTACAAGCAACACCTAGATATATTGTCCTGCTGATGGATTGTACTCCATCTGTGGCAACACAAGTATACATGCCCGCATCTTCTAATGTTGCATTGTAGAATGCTAAAAGTGATTTATTTTTAAACGGTTCGTCATTTTTAAGCCATGCAAAGTCAATATATCCTGGGTTGACGATAGCATTACATTCCAGAGAAAATATTGCTCCAACATTTATTGTAGTGTTTTTAAGGTTTAAGTTATTAGGAAACTGTAGAGGATCTAAAAATAATACTCGGGTGATATCATGCTAATATGCGGAAATTTATAAGACAAAAAAAATTATCTAAAATAATAAAAGTAGTTCTAACAAGATACGTTCAAAAAAATAGCAGAAACTTTTTCTCCCATGACATTTTTTGCTTTGCAACTAAAATTCCCATAATTTTCCGGTAGCAGGTTTCTAATTGATATTTTGACAAAACTCGTATATTTCGCTTTTGAGAATATACTTTGCATCGTGACATAATATGAACTGTTTAAACTGTTAAGTTCGTTGTTTTTAAAATATAATTGATAACTAGCATTAGGGTTTGAGATGAATACAAAATACAAGTCCACTGATTTACCGGCATCGACATTGATTGTCTTCGATTCATTAAGGAACACAGGAGCCACTAAAATAATTTTCTTAATATTAAAAATAGATTTTGCATACAAAAAAGTTTATTAAAAAAAAACCTAACTTAATTACCTCCGTAAAAAAGTTCAATTTTTCTTTCAGCTCCCACACCAATTTCATTACTAGGAATACATTCATATACTCCTTCATCTTGGAATGAAAAAGAAACGATGTTTAAAATTCCCGAAGAACTATTTGATATTACGTTGAAATTGTGTTTTATTGTATAAGTTGAAGGAGGGTATGTTTCAGAGGTACAAACCAAAGTCACCGACAAACCGTCACTGATAATATTTGATGTTACATTTTTGAAAAACAAAGTGGAATTTGAAGGAGAATCTATAAAGACACATGCTTAGATTAACTTTTTGTATAAATTTACTAAATGTATTAAACGTATAAAGTATGTAATATCAAAACACAGCTATAAATGCAAATAAATTCTTAGTCGTTTTATTTAAGAAACATGAAAAACTAAGTGTTGAGTTGACCCTTCTTTTAAATTCACACCCATTAGAGATAATGCATTTCTAGCATAATTGCATTATTGTGTGCCAGTCGACAACTATTTCCAACACATTTTTATCTTTACCTTTTTGAAACAAAACATTATTTTTTCACAAATGGGTTTAGACAGTAAAAAACTGGATCAAATTATGCCACCAGTTCTAGCATGCCATTATTTCATGATTCTATCACTACACTAGTGTTTTGATTGTAAAAAAAAAAAAAAAAAAACGAATAAAATTTTTTTTACAATGACAGTCTTGTTATTAGTAATAATCTTATATTTAATCTCGTTTATCGTGTTATAATTAGTAATAGTGTTTTTTATTTTTATTTATTTTGAATTTTGTTAACCTAACAGAGCATTGAATATGACCTTTACTGTTTTTGTAGATAAAGTTGCAAATTTGTTACTATGGTTGTTTGATAAATATTTAAATACACACATCCAATGGACTAAGAAAATATTGACCATTTTCGGTTTCACTTTTGTCATAAAAACCATTTTGAAAAAAATTAGGCAAAAATTTTGAAAAAAATTATGCGAAAATGTAATTGAAAAATGTTAAAAATTAGAGCTTAAAATAAGGATACTCTCAATTGTACATGCACAGCACACCTATGTTTACAGAGCAAATATTAGTCAATAAATATATCATAATATATACGGAACATAGTATAAATATATACGGAACAAGCGACTGGTGAGTTTGCCAACGTATCTCTTGATAAGTTGATAACTTGCAATTGGGTAGCAAAGAAAAGCAAAAATTTATAACTAAAATGCTATAATATCAAAACTTACATTTATTTTTCAATTAAAACTATTAACTGCAATACTTACATTTAACCATTAGTGTAAAGCTTGTTAGTTTTTGTTCTGGTATCCCTGGCAACTCAAGTCTCAATTCAATATTTTGAAAACGTTTCTCTACTTTATCAATAACCAATTTAAATGCTATTGTCATGCTTTCATTACGACTCTCAATTAAAGTAGTACTTACACCATTAGTAACACGTATGTTTCCTAGGTACCATTTTAATTCTGGAAAAATATTACCTGCAACAATGCTGCATAATGAAACCGGAGTAAACTCAATCGGAGTTGGATTTGAAACAGTGTTGTTTACTAAAGTTATATCTGAACAAGAGAAATAAGTAATTTACAATAGCTCTATACAACAGGTAATAAGTTAATAAAGTTAAATATAATGAAAAAATAAACCCAATAGAAAATCTAATAAATAAAACTAAAATTAATGGCTAAAAATTAATAACTAACCAACAACAGTTAGTTTTGTATTGCTAAATATTGTTTCGTTTGCGTACATAACTTCGCATTGATAAACGCCAATATCCAAGACACTGACATTTTTTAAAATAAATATGTCATTTACTAGAACTGCTTTGTCTGGAAAATTTTGAACTAACTTTCCATTAGTTACTGAAACTAGTATCTTTGTAAAAAAATTTGACTCATCGAGAATTCCGTATTTAACTCTAATTATTTCTTCAGTGTTATATTGCCACGATAGATAAACGTTGTTGCCAATAATTGCGTAAACTTCTGACGCAGGGTTGGAATAAAATTGCAGGCTGAAAACTAAAACGTAATTTTAAATAATTTTATATGATTTAATTATTAGGATGGTAAACATATAAAAAATGATATAACAAAAAATCTTTGCATAATTTCATCATAACTTAATATCATAACACAAATTTATCATATTTTATCAAAACAACATCCAATATAAATTTACTTTTTATTCCATAAGATTTACTTACCATACCTTTATAGTCAGTTTTAAGAACTGTTTAGACATTTTATTTATTAAAGTTTATCTAGCAACACTCCTTGTAAACGTTAAAAATGGGGGTTTTTTATTCATTTTTTAGCCTTTACTACTTCCTTTCAAGATCTTTTAGCTTAAGAACCTCCCATATTGCCTTGATGAAAAACGTGAAAACAAAAAATTTATTTTGCTGTGGGACAAATCAAGACTACTGCCCTTAATAACGATAAATTTTAGTGATTCGCTTATTTTTTGAAAAGCTTCTCAAACCACCAATTTTTTTGCCTCAATAAATTCATTCTGGGATTTTCAAGTTAAGTAATAAGCTTGCATGGGCTTTTATTTTCTTGGTACTTAGTAATTAAATGTAAATAGTCTTGCTGCGTATTGTTGTTGAGAGTATTTAATTCGAGCGCACCAAAGAAGTTTCCATCATTATTTTTTTACAACTTTTGATTAGATCTAAAAGCGTTTTTTTTTTTTTACTCTTATTTTTATTTTCGAATCATCGCCTTGATTTTTCTCCATGTAGTACTAATCAACTTCAATCTTGAAGGATATATATTGTACATGTTAAAACTTATGACAATGCAAAGTTCACAAGTAAGTGATTATTTTATGTTATAAATTGCAAAGCCAAACTTGGTTATAAGTTCTGACTATATTTCCTGTCAAAATTTAGTCGGAATGTTTTTTTCTTTTTTTTACTTTACTGTTGAAATAAAGTCGGAACAATATGCAAGCAAATCGTGTCTACACGGTCGCAAATTATAAACAAAAATAAAGCGTAATAACTAAAAATTATACTTATACATCTTACCGAACTGTTAAATACAAAAAAAATATTTTATCCAAACAAATAGCCAAAAAAAACACGTGCGCAATAATATATATTCCAGTTATGTATATATATTTCATTGTACGCCGCATGCAATGCGCGCGCATTCAAGTTGTAAATAAAAAAGAGAATAACTATTACCCTATTTTAAACAGAAACAAGTTAATAACCCAGATATAATCTATGGTTTTTTTAAGCAAATGTGATTATACTTCATATACTGTGATTTAAAGTTAAAGGATATATACATATGTGGTGTGTGTATGTATATATATACATATATAAATATATATATATATATATATATTTATATATATATATATATATATATATATATATATATATATATATATATATATATATATATATATATATATATATATATATATATATATATATATATATATATATATATATATATATATATATATATATATATATATATATATATATATATAATACTACTTAATATATATATAAATTTTTTATTGCTATTTATTTTACTAGTATACCAGATACATTCGATTTTCATAGTGTTTGCCCTCGAGATGCTGGAAGTTAATGCATTTATTAGTCAAAACGTAAGTGAGACGTATTGGTCACAAAATCCAGTAAAAAAAAATCCTTATTTTCAATTTTTAAACATTTAATAGCAGATAAACAAAGAAAAAGTGTATGGATGGCAAAACACAAAATGCAAATGAGGCTTTAAATGCAATCATATGGTCTCGTGTAACAAGATCATAATTTGTTTAAAGAGAAACAATAATTGTGGATACCAATTTAACTTTAATACATTTCAAAAATGAAAAAAAATCGTATTCTTATTGTTTTTGAAAATTTTTGACAGATCTACAGAACCAATTTACTTAAAAATTTAATAATAAATTTAAACCGTTACGCCTTTTTTCTCGTTATAACAAAAAAAGCTAATGCTAAAAACAAAGAGAATAAAAAATAGAAATAAAGATCAGACCATAGCAAAACGGTTCATTTATATTTTATACGAAAAAGAAACCATAGATTCATATGCTACAAGAAGTTATTAGGATTCAGTGATATATTTGTTAAGATAATAACTTTTTTAAACTTTCTTTTATACTTTTTTGAAAACTCAAAACATTGGATAAAGCTTTCATTTTCACCTTTTCTTGGAATGTTTGTATTTTATTTGCCCATGTTTTGTTATATATTTGGTTATCTCTATAACTGTGTTATTTTTGAATTAAATTATGCAAATAAATGTTAATAAAAACTACGTAGTACTAATTAAAAAACCTTAGTATAAGTGTAAAAACGTCATTAATAAAAAAAACTTATATATAAAAACACTAGTGTAAATGTGCCGATTGTCGAATAGTAACGTAATGTGGAATATTGGTGTTTTTCAAAAATTGTTAGAGGCGTATACATTCATACAAAATCAGCTATTGTAACCATCTACCATAGCTGAATATCGTGCATGGTATTGTTTTAAGTTATTCGATAAGGCAGCCCTAATCTCATGTGCAAACAATAATACCATTTAATCTCATATGCAAACAATAATCTCATGTAATTTCATGCGCAAAAAATAATCTCATGTAATCTCATGTGCAAACAATAATCTTATGTAATCTCATGTGCAAACCTTAAAATACCGTAAATGTATTATTTGGTGTTTGCAGTTTTTGTTACATCTATGCAAACAAACTTTATTGTGATTTTTCTGCGTTTGTGAAGTTGAGGTAGATAAGCAGACATGTTACCTTATTATGCGTTTGTGAAGTTGAGGTAGATAACACTGAATAACAACCCAAAAATATCTTGTTTGATGATTACATTTTCTAAAGCAGTTTTTCATGCTGATTACAAATCTGAAAACCGTTTTTCTCTATCACGTCAGGTTTTTAAGATATTAACATAAACATACATTTTTTAATCCCTTATTGTTACGAATGAATAAGAAAATAGAGTTTAGTTTACTAAGTTAATAACAGATGGCAACACTAAACATATTCTTTTGATATTTTAAATTGATATATTCTGTTCTGAAAATGTCTTTAGTGTACTTAATTTGTTACTGTATGTTTATTAATGAGTTGTGTGTTTATTATGAGTTATACTATTCCTATATATTTGCTATTTTTTTTCAGTGAAAACAATGGTGTCTAGAGGCTGCATCAATTCACCAGACTTGTTTTGTTATGTGTGCGGCTATCTCAGAGACAAAGGCCACCGAAAAACATTTACACCATTTCTGAGAAAAGCTTATGAACTATACTTTGATTCAAAGGTTGACAGCGGCAAGTCATGGGCACCACAGTTTATTTGTTTGACATGTGCATGCAACTTACGTGTTGGATAAGGAATGCTAAAAATAATAACCATCTGGCATTTGGAGTTCCTATGATATGGCGTGAGTCAAGCAACCACATCACTGACTGTTATTTCTGTTTGACAAATGTCACAGGTTTCTCATACAAAACTCGTTCATCTGTGAAGTATCCAGATATTCCCTCGGTTTCAAAACCAATTCCACATGATCCAGTCAGTTGTCCAATACCAACATCACTTACAGAATACAGAGTCGATGATGCAACACAAGAAGAAAGTTCGTCTTCCAGCAACATGGCAGACTCTGACTACAATCCTGATGATGATGAAATTCATTTGATTAATAATGATGATCTTTGCGACCTTGTAAGGGACCTGGCACTAACAAAAGGTCAAGCTGAACTGCTAGGTTCACGTCTGAAAGAGTTTAATTTGCTATCACCAGGTACAAGAACTTCACAATTTCGACATAGACACAAAGAACTCATGCAGTTCTTTGCAATGAGTGACAATATGTTCTACTGCACTGACATCCAAGGTCTTATGTCAAGCCTCGGTGTAGAACATAAGACTGAAGCATGGCGTCTATTTATTGATTCCTCCAAGGCAAGTTTGAAGGCCGTATTATTACACAATGGAAACATGTTTGCATCAGTACCGGTTGGTTACTCTACTCATCTAAAAGAGACGTACGAAACCATGTCGCTACTTCTTGAAAAAATTTGCTATCGCGATTACAATTGGAATATGTGTGGTGATTTAAAAGTGATCACTATTCTCATGGGAATGCAGACAGGGTACACCAAGTACTGCTGCTTTATCTGCGAGTGGGACAGCAGGGATAGGAAGCACCACTATATAAATAAGAATTGGCCCATTAGAGATAAAATGAAGCCAGGTAGTAAAAACGTCCTGCATGTGCCATTGGTTGAGCGTGAAAAAGTTCTTATGCCTCCACTTCATATAAAGCTGGGGCTCATGAAAAACTTTGTGAAGGCATTAGACAAAAACTCAGATGCTTTTTGGTACCTATGCAACAAGTTTCCAGAGTTGAGTTATGCGAAAGTGAAAGAAGGTGTATTCATAGTTCCACAAATGAGGAAGATCATAGCAGACAGTCACTTCGAAGATTTACTCAGCAGAACTGAAAAAAAAGCATGGTTGGCATTTAAGTCTGTTGTAGCCAATTTCCTTGGAAATAATAAATCTCCTGACTATGTAAATATTGTGCAGAAGTGCATTAGTGCGTACAAGTTAATGGGTTGTAACATGTCCCTCAAGATTCATCTCCTCGACTCACATCTCGACTTCTTTCCAGAAAACCTAGGTTCTGTTAGTGATGAACATGGTGAACGTTTCCATCAGGACATCTCGGTGATGGAGTCACGCTATCAAGGCCGATGGAGTGCAGCAATGTTAGCTACGACTATTGCTGGATACTTCAGCGCAACATGCCAAATTGTCAGCACAAACGCAAGTCTACAGCCAAGAAATTCAAACCAAACTAACTTTTAATTTAAGGAACTTTACGTTATACCTATGTATTTTACAAGTGTATTATATTTTAAACTATGTGTGTTTATGTTAAGTAGTACTCTATTCAGCGATATATGCTCTATTGTAACTTGCCTGCGAGTTGTTTGCTTTGATACAATATTAAACATATATAAATGGTCAATGCCAAATAACTCAACAACGGTGGGTAATAGAGACAAACGGTTTCTATATTTGTAATCAGCATGTATTACTTGTCTTAAAACAAGTGTTGGTTTCCAAGATATTTTCCGAAATTTTTTTTTTGTTATTCAGTGTAAGCAGACATGTTACTTTATTATGCGTTTGTGAAGTTGAGGTAGATAAGCAGACATGTTACCTTATTATGCGTTTGTGAAGTTGAGGTAGATAAGCAGACATGTTACCTTATTATGCATTTGTGAAGTTGAGGTAGATAAACAGACATGCTACCTTGTTATGCGTTTGTGAAGTTGAGGTAGATAAGCAGACATGTTACCTTATTATGCGTTTGTGAAGTTGAAGAAGATAAGCAGACATGTTATATGAGGTAGATAAGTAGACATGTTACCTTATTATGCTGTATAATTATTCTGTGTGTTTAAAATTACATTTTATTAATTTAACAGCATGTAATTTATAAATAAGCAGTGGCTAATGTGGAATACCAGGAAGAGAGTTAATGTGGAGTATTCCACATTGACAAACTATAGTCAATATTAATCTTTCTGATTTAAATAAATTCACATATTCTGTGGAGCTGAATAATATAGGGTAATATAATAGCAAAAGCTGTTTACTCCACTTCAAATAATTCAAGTATTCCTAATCAGGAAACCAAAAAAATGCAGATATTTTTTTGTAAAAGTAAGCACAAACACCTTTTTTACGAAAAAAATAAAAAACGAAAGAACATTTTGTATAAAAACACTGCTAGTGAAAAAATTCATTTAACACACAACTTAAAAGTATAAAAACTAAAGTAAAACTGAAAAAACAAATAAAAACTTACTTCTCAAAATACAGTAACACAATATAAGCAATTTATACATTTTTAACTTTAATTTGAATTTTATATAAAACGCAACATTTTACAGTTAGTTCTGATATGAATTATTTATTATTTTGCACTATAGAATCTTCTGCATTATTTATTGCATGGATTATTTTAATCTGCATTAATCATGCACGAACCGTTTCAATCTGCTTTATTTATGGAGATTAAAATATAAAAAGAAGGTCAAGTTGATCTGCAACATAACAAGCTAGAACATTGGTCTTCACAAAATTGGATAAAGATTAAATGCTGCAACTCTTAATGAGATATTCTTTATCGAATATCGGCGTTTTCTTTTTCTGATTTTCTATTGGATCTGATTTGTATTAAAATCTCTGACTTTTAAATCAAAAGCGTCAAAAAAGTTTTTTGAAAAACACATTAAAAAATGGCATTTATTCATTTTAGTTTTTAATTCAAATTTTAGACAAACTAGTTTTATTTTCAATTTTTCAAAACAAAGGCTTCTTAATCAATTTGGTAACAATGACTTTTAACTGAATTTATAGTATTTTCTACCAAATGACTTTTCAACCTGTTATATTTCGATCGACTAAACTTTCAATATACTACATTTTCAATCAACTAAATTTTTATCCTACTATTTAATCTGGAGTGTATTTTGTATACTTTTTAAATTTCGAATATTTGAAAGAGTTAATAATAAAAGAATGCCTACCCATAACAAAACCCTAAATCGACATATGTACACTCCGCTGCGTTCATGTAGAAAAAGCATTTTTTTTTAAAGTTTTAAATACAGATCAGTTGGTTGAAATGAAACTCACCTATAATATATTGAAAATCAAACCACGCCTATCTTCTACGACTATCTTATAAGATTGATTACACGTACAACTATTATTGTTGAAGGAGAAACCCAACAAAATGGGTTCCATTTTTAACATTTATTTAATGGGTATATATATATATATATATATATATATATATATATATATATATATATATATATATATATATATTTATTTATATAAGTTAGAGTATTCTTTAAATAGAGTGCTTAATGTTCTTAAGCACTCTATTTGAAGAATACACTATAATAACAGAGCTATAATAATTTAGTGTTTTTACTAATTTATTATAGCTCTGCTTTTAAAGAACAGAGCTATAATAAATTAGTAAAAACACTTATCTAAATATCTTCTACAGTCCGTTGCAATAAAACACTAAAAATAAAGAAGATTTTGTGGCAATATAATAAAGAACGCCGTAACTCGATAAGTCTTTTCATCGAGAACCACTTAAATTGAATACGTTCAATGAGCAATTCATTGATATATATATATTTTTTTTTTTTTTCTATGGAAAAATGGAGAATACATTAAATATGGATATACACAATGAAGTACTGATTAAAAAGTTTTAAATCAATATATTTAACTTTGAAAAAAAAAACAAAAAAAAAACTAGCTTTTTATGATGTTTTTTAATGAATTAAAGTTACCATAATAAGAGATATCTTAAATAGTATTTAAAACAATACTGTTCTATGAAAATGATTCGCCAATAAAATAAAACATTTTTAAAGTTAATTTGAAAAAATGGCTGCCGAATTAAATTATCATTCTTTAAAATATATTCATTTAAATAAACTATATAATACAATTATAAATATATTTTATATACAAGTTTATTTATCTGATTTTAGTTTAATTATTAAAGGAAAACTTCTTATGGAATAAAAATTTTAAAAACGTTGTCATAAACGATAATGGTTCTGTAAATTATAATGATCAATTCATCTTCAAAAGTGATTACTATTAAATATTTATTTACATACAAAAAAGCGGATTTATAAAAAACAGGAGCTCAAGGCAGAAGAAACTCAAAGAAGAAACGGATTATTAAAGTCACCATTGCTGGATTAAGGAGGGGAGGAGGGCTAGGAGGGGCTGAAAAATTTTTTTTTAGCTTTTTTAGTCACTTTTAGGCTCTGGCCCGTAAAAAGGCATCCAAAAACAAAAATAGCCCCGGGCCCTACAAAGTCTTAATCCGCCACTGAAAGTCACCGCAATCTTTTTATAGAGCTCCTATGTGGGCTTTACTAAGAATGATCGAATTTGATTTTCATTTAATTAAAACTAACTGTCATGACCCGTACGATACGGGTCGTGGTCTGTTCTACCAAAATATTTCTAAACTTGTTCTTAATTTGGTCTCTATACTTTTAGTAAACAGCAAAAAATTAATCGATTAAAAGTTTTTGGCTTTGGGTTAACAATTAATTTACTATACTTTAGAACTGTACTTATTTACCACATATACCACAATATTTTATATATACCACAATATATACCACAATATTTTATACATAATAATAGGATCATATAAGAGACAGTTGCGGAACATTAATTCTGGCGATTTTGGAAACTTAGGCTATAATAATATTTTACTCTCTCGTTAATAATTATTTAAAAAGCAAATTTGGACATTTAAAAACGAGCCAAAGAGACTTGTTATTTTGACAAAGCCAGCTTTATCTGTTTGATATTTTTTATAAAAGCGTTTCTGTAAAAAAAAAAACTCTTAACTAATTCATTCAATTAAGCCGTTTGTACTGCCAAAGTTTTTAAACCTGTTGCTTGTGCCAAATATCGATACTTAACGCAAATGGAAACTTCAAGTACAAAATGCGATTTAAGTATAAATGGTTTCTATTCACATATAAAAAAAATAAAGCAAAAATGATCAATATATCCATTTAAAACAATTCCAAAAATAAAAAAATATAGGTATTTACTTGAAAAACAAAAAGTATATTTTTCTTGAGATAAAATAAAAATATAAACTTAAATAAAAATTACAAAATTACAAAAAAATTACAAAAAAAATTACAAAAAAAATTACAAAAAAATTACAAAAAAATATTATATTCAAAATAAAAGTACCAAAAATACTTATTAAACAATTTAAATTGAAACATTGTTTCGTTATTATATAACTTTAGGTAAGCCATAATCAAGTCAGCCATAAAAAAAGTAACTCGACCTAAAAATGGAACAATATTATTTTAAACACTTATTACACATTAATTACAAATCAACGTGTCATGCAATCAATTAATTCAAGAACTTAAACTAAAGTTGTAAATAAATTGATATAATCTTTTAAACTGAGTATTGTTATATATTAAAGTTAGTTGTTATTAATTACTGACAAAATATTATTAGTATTTAATCAAAAAAATGATAAAAAGTAATTTAAAAAATAAATTTTTTACATATAAGAACTCATAAAACAAATTGAAAAAATTAATTAATAAGACCTGTCGGCTCAGCAAGTACTGCTAGCATGGAACGATAAAATGTAATCACCCATCATAAAAACCTTTTCATCACTTTAAAACGCATTTAATGCAAGATTTGGTATAAATAAATACAAAACTAGTAAAAGAAAACCTCTATAATTTTTTATATTTTAATATTCTAAAGAAAAAAGGTCAATAATATAATACAGAAAAATTAAAATGTCTATACTAAAACTTATATTATAACACTTTGTATAAAAACCTTTATATAAAAAAAAATTTAAGTTAAACAGATTTAATGAAGGAAATTGAAACTCTTTAATGTTTTTATGGGGAGGAGCTATTGGTAAACACAATTTTTCACCAATATTTTTCAACACATTTTATGAATACACTAATTACAAACAGATTTAATTTATGAGTTTCATCATGACAGTACACCACTCTACTGGCAAGAACAACATTTTTTCTCTCAACAAAGCCAAGTCACATTATAACAAAGTATACCACTTGCCTAGCAAGGTCAATAATTTTGCTGTAAACTAAGCTAAGTCACAACAATTTGAAACCATGCAAACAACATAATTACCACTTACAAACTATAAACAAAAAACGTTATATCACAAACATAGAAACACTCACATTTCCTTACTCACAAGTACTTGAATTGTGTTATTATTATAATGCATGAATTAAATAAATTAACTGACTTTAAAAGTTACTTTACTAATTTAAAAATAAAATAAGTTTCATCCTTTACTACAGAAGTTATCAAATAAATATTGTCGATCTCATCACTAAATAAGTTGATGAAGCAAAGTTTTCGATTTTATTTCTGATGAAGCAGATATTAACAGGTTGTTAAGATTTGAGAGTACCTCATCGCATGAGTTCAAAAGTATAAAGAAAAAGAGCATTCTAAATCCTATTTATAATAAAACTCCGTGTTAACGCGCACAAACGGGTAACGGCAGCAGCGTTAGGTTAAGCAATAATATAATGTGATTAACTTAAAAGAGTTAAACAATTTTATCGTATTTGAATTTTTTTCAAAAGGTCTTTTTTTTTTAAAGAAAATTATAGAATTAGAGGACTTTTTTGAAAAACTGGCATTTGTGCCCCTCCACTTTGAAACCCCTGTCATCGGTCCTGAATGTATTCATTATTTGCATGTTTTTCATTAATGGTTTTGCATGTTCATTTTTTTTTTTTTTCTTATTTAGAGGTCTGCATGCATGTTTTCGTAAAGAAAATATTTTTTTAAGTTTTGTTGGTTGAGTACTAGCCCACGTAATATTGGAATAGTAAATAAAACAATGTAGTAAGTTAAAACATACTAGTTTAAGACTTTCTGATGTATTATATGGACATATTCGGTACATTAAACCAATTGTTTTACTTATTTTTAATTGAATATAATTTATGTGAGAAAGTTATGACAAACTTTCATCAATAAGATTTTCTAAGAATTTTATCATTTTTTCCAATTTGTTTATCACTTAAATTCAAACGAGGTAAATTAAAAGTTTTTGTCTAAAGATAGATGTCAAAGGATTAAGATTTTTTATGGAATAAAGTATATTTTGTTTATATAAATTAAGTGAGATTTTGTTAGCCTTAAACTATTTGTGTCTTCTGAGAACATTATTGAGTTAAGCTTTGCTGATACATTATTTAAATCATTTACATAAATTAAGAAAAGCAGTGAACCGAGAACTGACTTCTGTGGGACTCCACATAACTTTTAGTACTCTTGATTTATTA